GGAGCCTCCCTGCCAGCCAACAACCATACATGCTCTTATTCAGCCTTCTGCCTCTCACACCTCAAAACGACCCTGCAAAGCCAGTCCCAAGCATGGGGAAAGAAGCCCTGAAGTACTGTCACTACAGTTCTGACCAGGTTCCCGATATCAACCTGGTATTGGTGCCGTCATAAAAACCAAATCCAAGGACAAAAGTCAAGTTAAAAGTGATTTCCAAGTCATGCTGGCCACAGAAGTGTCCCCGTTGGCTATCCTTGTTACAAAGTCATGTTTTTCTGCAGGTTAATTACATCAAGGAACAAAAAACCACGATGACAGAAACCCATAGGGCACAAACCAAAAATATGAACTAGAAAGGAAAACGTGTTACCTTTGTTAGATACCAGGAGTACTACATGGAACACAAAACTTTAAATACAGGATGTCCTTTTTGTGGTTTGCAAACAAACGATACTGTTACAACTCGGCTCCAGTTACTTAATTCTTAACAAGTCCTAATGACCATACACAAACTTCACCAAAAATATTAGAAACTGGTAGATAAAGCAGTCTTTGCATTCTGCATTTCCCAAATAGTTGCGGGGGGAGGGGGGCGGAAGTCTTCCACGAGCCAACTGTAATAGCAAGTGGATGGGACTTGTCCTTAGTGTCAGGCACAACTATTTAGCAAAGGATAAGCTATGAATTTTTATCAGATCTCATTTCTATTAATATTGATGTTACTATCACCTAGGAGAGGAAAGGCCCAGAAAAACAAACGAACAAAATACAGCTTCGCTAGTTTGTTAGTTAGGACTGTAAGAACATGAAAGAGCCGTGAAACTATGAGCAAGCTCAGCATTTTGATAACTTGTCTGTAACAGCAGCAAATTCCAGAGGACAGTCTCTTCCACGTGCACACCACTCCCCGAATCTGCTCTTCAGGCGCAGAGAAGCATTAAAGCACCAAGTGGTCTTGCTGGCATCTGTCCAGCATTCTTGAAAAGCAGTTACAGCTTCAGCAGTACCAAGACCTGGTGTTCTTTCCATATCAGAAGATTCAGACAGCAACGTATAGAATAATCAGAATATCCTAGTAAGCACTCTGCAGCACCCATCACTTCAGAAACCCATCACTTCTCTCTTAGGCCAAGCTTCCGATATATTCACGCTCTTACCCTTTCTCGCACTCTTTACATCTACCCTCTGAGACATTCCCCCATCTCGTAGATTTGTGGTCTGCGTTGTCTACTTCCTGTCTTAGCTACCCAGGTCATACGCTTGCGCTCCTCTCCTGCCTTAGCTGTGATTCATACATCCTGGTTTCAACACAACTTTTACGTACAAGTCAAACATTTATATTGTGCAATTTCAGGGTCTTTTGTTTAGTTTTCATTACAAGAGCTTTCAAAATAATTATTATTTTTAAGTAAGAGCCTCAGCATACTACAACATTTTAGATGGGACCCAAGAGGTTTTGTTTAGGAAGATCTGATACTGGGGACAGTTACTCGAATTCCTGAAAAGGCTGTGGAACTCGGCCCAACTGGATGTGATACAACAGATCAAGTTCTGTTTGGTACCTGATGATGAAAGAGTATCTCCTCTTCTAGTTGGATGCCACAAAATTCACATGGCATCATAATGTTTCCTTCTGCCTGGACAGCTTGGGGCTGGGATGAAGAGAGAGACCTATGGCTTTTGGACCCAAAAGCACGCAGACCATCATATTCTCGTGGATTTGGAGAACTTCCTTTACTGAACGAGGCAAAGGCACTTGCTGGGTTACAACCTGTCTGTTACGCAAGCAACATGGAAAAATTAGCTCTCCTGTTGAGCACAGATGGACTTTAAAAACCATGCTTTGCAAAAGACCAAATTGCTAGAGTTCTCACAGCATCACAGAGTGAGGACTGCACCATTTGTCAGTCACGGTAACATAAAAAAGTCTTTACTGCAAACCCCTAGATACAATACAAGAAAGTACCAAACCTGGTGAAGAATCAGATCTTCGGCAGGGTAGAGCTCCTCACAAAATTCACATGGCAACATGATGATCTCATCATCTGCAAAGTAAGTAACAGTTATATCCTCTACCATAGAGAAGTCTGATGTGGTTGGATGGACTTATTGTCAAAATTCCTAAGCAACAGACTCCTGTTCTGTGCCGCAGGACAGTAACCAGAGCAAGTGCTAAGGAAACAGTTACTCAAGTCACACTTTCACATATGCAAATGCACATCACCCAGAGCGAGAACAATGTTTTGGGGTCAAAGATGTATTGAATGGTCTGGTAAAAAAAGCCTATTACTGCTTCAATAAATCCTTCAGTACCATTTCTTCTTTCAAAATAAGCTGACACTTCGGGTGTCGCCCAGATCCTCCCTTCCTATCATGTTTACTTCAACAGGAAAGTTGTCACCTACTAGGTTGTTACAAAGCTCTCACCACATAGTAAGGTCAGAGATTCGCTGTAGCTTTTATTTCTTCTTGCCTTGCTGGCTTGCTTTAGTAATACCTCTTTGAAAGATACTATTTTAAACACTACTATTGCTAAGTTTTGAGGAAGCAGAAGCTAAAACTTAAGAAAGGAAGGAAGAATGGTACCCATAGAGAGCCTAATCTCCTGTGTATTAATTACCTAAAAATTATTTAGAGGGAGTCTCAAAGAGACTAATTTTGACATTTTAAAATACCTAGATAATCTTTGACATTCCCAATCCAAGACTCCCCTCTTTCCTTCTCCCTTCCCTCAAACTTTAAGGAAAAAAAACCAACTCATCACAACAGCGTTTATACTTACTTTTTATGTGTTTCGACGTGCTAAAAGACACTAAAGAGTCACAGGAGAAGATATCTGACTTGTCTGTTTCGTTAAGACAGGCAGATGGCACAGACTCTTTGGTGTAGTCATTTTCCCAGAAGCCACTGGGAATTTCAGCTTCAGTATTATTGAAAGGATTATTCTCGTTTTGTAGGCTAAGAGCCAACACATAGTCTAAATCGTCGTTCCACTCTTCATAAAGCGAAGGATGAGTGTTTTCATTTCTCTCCAACTGCTCCAGTTCATCCTCTTCAAAAGATAAATATCACAAATTTAAGAGAACGTTAGGCCTGAAACAAGCAGTTCCCTTCTGGACATTAGACTAGCTCAACCATGAGGGTTTCACATGTGCACATGTGGACACTCATAGAGTTCAGCGTTTCAAAGCCTAGACAGACACCTGTATCAAATTCAGGGGGAAGAAGGAAAACAGTCATTCTATTTTTGTTTGTAACAAGCAAAAAAGAAAAAAAAAGAAAGTCATTCCTCTTACTCCAAAAGCTTGAAGTTAAGCTTCTTGTGATCTTTACGAAGTCACTGAGGAACCTTCTGTGACCTACACTGTGAACAAGGTTCAATTAATATACTGTAGTCTCGTCTCTTTTACAAGGCTGAAACACTTCAGCTTTGTTTTTTCAGTGTATTGATGGGAAAACAAATTCCTTTTAATGATATTACATTTGACAACAGTGGGAATTATACATGCACAGAAAAAATTCATGAAATATTTTCTGGCAGTAAAGCTACACTGAAAAGAAAACCAGGGTTCCAGAAGAGGGCCCAAGACTCAACTGATCATGCCTAAAGACAGGCTAAGTGCTCCTCACCTGTGTTGGCCTATTTCAAATCTCTCTGGTATTTCATTTGTACTGAGTACAGGAGAATTTTAAACAAAGCTTACATGTGCATAAAAATACTACTTGTGAACACTCTTTGGAAGTTCATGTAAGTGGTCTACAGGTTACAGCTCTCCAGATGATACAGTTTTATTAATGAAGCCCAGAAGTTATTTCTACAAGCTGGGCAGTCTTCTACAGCAAAGACTGTAATTTAGTATTCTGCAGTGTTAAATCCTCTGAGTGGCCCACAGCAGTGGCCCAGAGCATAGATTCAGCCACGAGCACATGGAAAGGCTCTCTCTTAAGTGTGACGTGACCCCCTGCACGTTGAGGTATGAGATTCGAGGCTTAGGAAAGAGCAGAGGCATTGATAATAGTCTCAGCTGTGTCCAAACAGGATGTTACTGCAGAAATGCGCAGCACTATGTACGTGAACCCACATCCAGATCTTAACTACCCTTCTACTTAACTGAAGTAGAGAGGAGTGCAGCTGCTAAACAAAAAGGGACAGAATGTGCAGTGAGCAAACAACTCCAATTTCATTTTAAGCTAGAGACTTCGAGACAAAAGAACAGGCAGCGGAGTGGGCTTTCACACCAGGTACCTCAGCAGTCCTCTATTTAGCTGGCTTACACCTCTGCAGTTCTATTCCATGGCAAAATAGTCCCACTCACAGTGCCTCTGGAGCTTTTGTTATTCAGTATTTTCACAGAAAGCAATTACAAAACCTGATACTTGGATCAACTGCCAAATGTCAAATTAGAAGGCAATTATTACTCTCCTCTACACCTTACCTCACTTTTGATTTCTTTGTACTGCTGAAACAGTTCTTCTGCTAATGTCCTGAAGGGTTTTGTCTCCTACACAGCTGCTATAAATCTGCTTTTCTAGCACTTTGGGCATTCTCCACAAAGGCCCAGCATAGTTACCTGATCTTAGGCGGTTTCTAATGTCTCGAAGGATGTGCAAATCTGCATCCTCATCCTCAAAGCAAGGCACTGTTCTGCTTCCTCTTACTTGTTTCACCTCTTGCCCACAGACTTCAGGATGCTCTTTCAGATCCTTCACCATGATGTTACGACCGCACCCACCACACGTCTCAGTCCTAGCGCCACAGTAAATTTCATGCTCCTGGAGCTTGTTGAAAGTAAGCTGTACATCACAGTACTGGCAGAGGGCAGGACGCAGAGGGCACGCCGATGCCTGGAAAAAGAAAGAGGGATTATTCTTCACATATGGAAGACTGAGGCAAAGGTGGAGGAAGGTTCTCAGTTGGCTTAGGAGTTGAGCAGTCTGTTGTTTCTTTAGCCAGATCCAAAGCTAAAGAATAGCCTGGAATAAGACACTACGTGAGAAATGTAAGAACAACCTGTTGTATAACCTGTGTAATCGTAAACATGCCAGCTGAAGCACTACGAATACTCAGAATGCTTTTTTAAAATCTGTAACGCTTGGACAGCAGATTCACACAGTGCTTTTTGAAGTTAGCTTTTAGATACAGTCTTGAAATCCAGTACTAATCACATTTCATTGAGTGCTGCTAAAAACCACGTTAGTGTGTGTGTTCTATTAGGGAACAGATTTGCAGCTCACTTACTAAAACTAAAAGCACTACACACAAACATGCAGGATAAACTATTTCCAGGGTTTTGAACGGGACGTATCTTCAGAGAAAATCCTTTTTTCCTCAGCAATAACCAGACTTAGGTGGCGCTTCCAGAGCTGTCTTTAAATGAGCGCATAGGAAGGGAAGGCACTGACATTTATAACAAGATTGCCTGTGACAGCAGCCAACTGGATTCAGAAACTCATCAAATCCCACCGTGTCCTACTTTAGTTTATTTTACAAGCTATTTTAAAAGTCTGTTTGGACATAATGAGTTATTAAAACTCACATAATGACCGCAGCAGAGTCAGAAATGCGTAATGTTAAAGGAATGAAAAAAGTCAAGTTAATCATATTCTGTACGTTTGAAATAGCATACCATTTTTCATCTTAATCACTAATAAGGACAAAATCATCAATTACCACATGAATTTTATACGAAGACTTGAGCAGACTCCACTACTTTAAGGCACTTTCTATCCACCTTCTCTCAGAGAGTGTGAATTTAGAAAGCATGGTTCAATAAAAAGGATGCATAAATCACAGGCTGGAATCAAGGTCTTGGCTGACAGAAAGGCTCTAGAATCAGTGCTTGGAAATACCATAGAGTATCTTCCAAGTGTCTAACAATAAGAAGCCCACCAACCTCATGATCCTTCAAGAGACTGTTTTCTATCTTCATCCTACACTTGCAGGTAACCTACAATAAACAGACCTCATTAGATTGATTGCCACAGAAGTCAGCAATTTTAGAGGAGAAATTTGTTTCTCACCTGCACATGTTCAGACTCAATATGATTCTTCATTTCAGACTTTGGGATTGATTCACTGCAGTAGCGGCATACTTCAATATTTCTGCTACAGTGGATTTCGTGAATGATGAAA